TAGACTCGAGGGGGGATTACTTTGAAGGGGGAAACTGTAGTTTATTGTTTGGAATTGAAATAAATTGTGATACCAGTCCCATTACTTTTCAGACAGACCTTGTATGTAAGGAAAGAGTATTTCTTACATGTACATATTGAGTGTAATGGATTTTAATTTTTAATCCAACATATTTATTACTTCAAACGTTATTTTTTTTTTTTTTAGTGAATACCTGTATTTGAGTAGGCATTCAGTTTCTTTTAAACTACTTATTTTGTCTACCATCCTGCGTACTTTAGAAAACTTATTGACTGCACATTTTCTTTAATAGATTTTCTTGAGTATGCATATCAGTACATGAAATAAATACATTTTAAAATAAACAGATATCCACTAAAAATAATGTTTGAAGTAGTAAAAAGTAAAAGCTGTAAAAATGAATGCATTAGTGTTTTATATATATATATATATATATATATATATATATATATATATATATATATATGGGCTTGAGTTTACTCTGCATAGGTTTATTTTAGCACAAGGCTAGGAATATAGAGCATTCAGGGATGATTGTACTCCTTATTCACTCACAGTAATTAAAATTAATAAGACCAGCCAGGTAACTATTACACCATGACTAAAATATATAATTTTCTCACATATACAATGTTATAAAACCACTACAAAAATAGCCATTTTGTTTCAATACTTCTTATCAAGTGATGGTGTTGAATGTAGAATCTACATTCAACACCATCACTTGATAAGACACCAGAAGTGTTGAAAGAAAACGGCTATTTTTGTAGTGATTTTATAACATATTTGTTATAATTTTCGAATGAATAATTATATTTGCTCTACTCTGTATTGAGCACTTTTTTTAAGAATGGTATTTTTTTGATATTGGAATTTATTCCGTTTACACCAATCTGATACTTGGACATTATATATATATATATATATATATATATTAGTTTTTCATAAAATATTTTTACACTGCTACACAAAAACTTTCATGTTTTGGAACTTTAATGGTTCCTCACCACGTAATAGTAGATAACATAATACAAATGATTTGTGAAATCTAAAAACAAGTAGTTACCTCTTTTTAAAGTTAAAAAAGGTGGGTGGGGAACCTAATGTCAGAATTAAAATCGAGACATACCCACAAGTATATGTTTTAGTTCTAATTGTGAGTTCAATCCCTGGGTTGGGCAGTGTGTATTTGCTTGAACCACAAAATTCGATCTGAATTCAAAATCACAGAGAAGGCTATGAGAAAGCATTTTACTAACCTTCACCAACAACAATCGTAGCAATGCACCATAGTCGACAAGCTGAATAGACATCATCATCCTCCTCCTCTTGACCTTGTAATCACAGGGCGGATCTAAATGCAGAAGTCACACTAACTCTTTTCCACAACAGTCTATCAACGTCAACCACCTGCAATTCTGCTACAGTCATAGCTTCCCATAGTTTGACATCCAACCAGTTTTTACGTTGGGGGTGCTCTCCTACGTCCACCTTCAATGGTGCCTTGCATGAAGGTCTTGCACAGGTTATCATGCCTTGTAATGTGTCCAAACCGTGCCATTGAATATAGTACTTTTAAAACTATGTACCTAATACAAAGCCAGTCAGCTTTTTTTTTATTATACAGGGTGCAATGGGTAAATATTCATCATTTTATATTTTTAATTTTGTGCATGCGCATTGCTTTTGATTTTGTCGCCTGTACAGTATAATAGGGTCAGCTGGGCACTGTCTGTGAGAAAAAGATCCCCATGACACAATTCACTCTGCCATAAATTTGTAAACGGCATGCTGTACTTTTTGGTATTCGCAGCGGGAGCTCCAATATGAACATTTCTAACTCTGATCGTTATGATACGAAAAGAACTCCCGAATTTGTTGTTGAGGGCTTCAAACTCAATACGGAGGCCTACATCAAGTGCCTTGGGAAGGTAGTGCTGTTCTGGATGAAGATAATGGCTGTTGAAAGCCCTATATCCGTCAACAGGACTCTGCACCATGCCACACAAGCAGGAGAACCTAGTCATGGCTGTCAGAAATTTTTGCGACCACATTACCCCTTACATTTGGCCAACTATATTCCTGGACTACAACCCCCTTGATTATTATGTGGGGGTACAGCTGAGTGAGAGACCAACAAAACTCCTTGTAACATCAAAGATGAACTGAAGGTAAGGATTATGACAGCATTCAGCAACTTAAACAAGGAGACCGTCCAGAAGAGTTGCAGGAGATTCCGAAGTCGTCTGGAGGTCATGGTTAAAGCCAATGGCGATTTTATTGAATAAATTTACTCTTTATTATTTTAAAATATTTTTTGTGTAATTTTGGTAAATATATTTGTTAAAATGAGATATCAGTGTTATTTTCATTTCCACGTAATTTGAATGATAATTTATCTATCACAACCTATATATATATAAACTTCAGATAAAGTATATCTGTAAAAGGACAATATGTACACCCACCTCAGCTGGTATATTTTGTCCTCAGAGGGTCTTTATCAAGGCAAATGCAAGGATTTTATTTTATAACATATACAAGAGCAAAATGTTAGAGCTTTTTCAAAATTTTTAAGTTTATGAACACATAAATATTCATTAGGTTAGCAGAAAAGTCAGTCGTGGATATGATCAGAACCAACAATACCTCGAGGGCACGTGGCACAGTGTATAAAGGCGTTAGTTAGATCCAGTGACAAGACCCAAAGAGTGTGAGTTCAATACCTGGTTAAGGCGGTGGAGAACTTGGAGAGGGGAATTAACAGGAGATAACTGACATCCATTAGACATGGCACGTGGAACAAGAACAGTCTACCCCAGCGAGCGAAATAAAGGGTTCGACATTCCAACCTGAAGAAGGCCGGAGCGTACAACGACCGAAACGTGTTAAATATGGCGACAAAGATTCGGACAATAGTCCGAATAACGTAAATAGTGAGAATTGACATTGCATTTAAATGTTCGAAGATTGTAGCAAACAGGAAAGCAAAAAGCTGGAAGAACGTTTCACAAGCAAGAAGTGCGAGAGAAGGAACTATAAACATAGAACTTAAGATTTCAATTTAA